ATATAAAGATAAGATATATATATCTTATATTATGTTGAATTTGAAAACTTGTTTAATACTTACAACGTAAGGCTCAACGAGCACCGTAGTCTCCAATGCGAGTTTTTGTTCCTGTTCTACATTGTATCCAATGTAACAGAGCTTCTCTTTCATCATTCTCACTGTTTCGAAGTCCGCGGAATGGTTGAACGCGTAGCCTCGTAGAAGGAGAAGCTGGACAACGGTAGAAGAAATAAAATGAGATAAACAGCTTCATCATTTTCAGGTGAAAAAGTTCCACTGCTTGACATAAGGCTCCCTCAAAGATCGTCACAACCATCGATCTTACGCTGCTCGTGTGCATCTGATTCCCGAGTTACTCGTATACATCAAGTATGTAATCAGAAATAGAGACGAAATGTCATTTAATTTGTTTGAAAACTATTCTGCCAAATCATTACGGTGACAACTGCACTCCGATTGGCCAGCCCGAATTCGAAACAATTGGCGGGTGTCGTCGATAGTTTCACTTCAAATCGACCAGTTAAACTTGAGCTTTGCTATAATGGACGATAATTGAAAAATTACATATTTAATTGGAATATACGGAGACGTACATACAGGTCAGTTGTTGTCGCTGTACTATCTTAGCTTTTTTAATTTGTGATTTCAGCGCAAACGAGGGTTGCCAGGGATAGATGGCCCTTATTTCGTCTCTATTTCTGGTTATATACCCGATGCTCACGCTTCGTGCGAATATCCACAAAATAGGGGAGGAAACTCAGCCTGTGTCTAGTCCCCCGATGATGGAAAGGGGAAGGCGGAATTAATTACTGCCTCTACTCACGAGAGAAATAAATGTAGGCCATACATATATTTCTCCCGGCCTGGGAATCCAACCCAGGACCTCTGCGTGGCAGTCTAGCATGGTAACCGTTCGGCCACGAACGCAGTTTATCTTGCAACGCTTTTCAATTTATTTTGTTTGATTTATTAAGAAAGAGGCACGAAAAGAAAAACTTCAATCTAAGCTCCTAACGGTGTAACAAAAACCATTTTTGGTTTGACCGTACACCGGCCATTCACCGTCTAGACAAATTCAATCCAAAGTGGCCAGTTGTTATTTAGCAGAACCACCATATAGGTGGTAGCTTACCCCGTACACGACCAGACTTGTGCTTGGTACAGCTGAAGCAAAGTATTAAGTGTCCGGGAGTGTAGTATCTAAACTACCCGCCAGACATTATTACTCTATGGTATCTTAATTATCGTATATTTTCTCCATGGTTACATACCTTGATGAGATACCGTGTGATATCCCGACCTGCAATGTCCAGACGCCGCGTCAGATGCGGCAACGCAAACTCCTCATATACAGGACAGATATGTGTCACGCCGTCACCTAGCAAAACAATACAATTACTCGTTAACACATAACAATACAATTGCTTATCACACATAAATAATAGATAAACATCTCCTCAAGTGCGGTAACGCAAACTCCTATATCACGCGATAAGTATTATTGATGTGTACTACCAACTGTCTCGTACACAAGACGAGATGTGTCACGCAGTCACCTAGCAAGACAATACAATTACTGGTTACACATGACAATACAACGCAATTGCTGATCAATTTAATTAGCAGACCGGATGATCTGGGCAGCCAATAAGGCACGTCCACAGCCAAACTCAGAGATGTGAGCCCGGATACAATCCCACGGCCTCTGTTTGAGAGGCGGTGGGTCAAAACATTACAGTACCGGCACGCTATTTTGACAGATCACAATAGTGAGGTCAAATCTCAAGTCATTATCGAAAAAAATATAATCGAATGTGAATCGCATCTATAAGTTTTTAAATTTATAACTAGTATTGCAAGCGGTAGCTGATTAAAATGTTTTAATATAATATAAGGAAAACAAAAATGTTTACTTAATATATCGTCAAATCGACACTGTTTTGTGTTGCATTCGGCTTTGACGCGAGTTCGCCGGAAGTAGAAGTTGTGCTGGCCAGCGATGAAACAAATGCCGAGTTGTGTCGTAAAATTATACCTTCCATAAATTTTACTGCACGTCACTATTGACAACAATGCACAGTAAATAGCTACTTCAACGTAGTTATCTGAATCCGGCCGCTATACCGCTAGACCGTTATAAAATAATACGAAACTCGATGAGCGTACAAACGTCAAAAGGGCCATAGCGTGCCGGTACTACAGGCTACCACGACTTCAGAATTTGGTCAACTCGTTTATATTGTTGGCAAAGATTTAGTATCATATGTACAGAAACTTAGGTTGTATACTACCATCGAGTATATAACCAGAAATAGAGACGAAATAAGGGACATACATTCCTGATAACCTATCAGTGACACATCAGTTATAAATATCGACTCTCGTTTGCACTGAAATTACAAATTAGAAAGCTTAAATAGTACAGCGCCAACAACTGACCTGTATGTACGTCTCCGTATATTCCAAAAATATTCTGTATTTATTGTAATAAAGATAATACCTCTAACAATGGCGTGCTGTTCCATTCCGTGGTATGGGGAAAAACAGCAAAACATCTAATTACAAAACAAACGGAATCAAATTTCATCGGTAATTAAATATTAAATATGTAATTTTGCAATTTTCGTCCATTATAGCAAAGCTCAAATTAAGTGGTCGATTTGAAATGAAACAGTTGACGACACCCGTCAACTGTTTCGAATTCGGCCTGGCCAATCGGAGCACAGTTGTCACAGTCATGATATCGCAGAATAGTTTTCAAACAAATAAATGACATTTCGTCTCTATTTCTGGTTATATACTCGATGTATAACTACAGTATTATAAACTGTTTATATTGAAAAGGAAGATATTTAGATATTTTTTCAGATCCATTTCGAATACCAACGTTTCGGGCTCTTTGCAGGCCTCAAAGTAACGGCCGAATGGTATTAGTCATCAAAGAGTTGTCTAATATTAATGCAAAATAAAAATTCTTCCATCTCTTTGTTCCTACGGTAGACAATACAAATAAACAACACATAATGAAACAAAGGTCTTACCCGAGTCGACGACAACACCGGAAATAAGTCCTTGTGCGTATAATGTGAGCACAGCCTGAATGGCTATATAGGCGCTGTCGAAACCGTATTTCTCGAACATTACCTGTAAAATACGCGATATATTTTCTTATAAATAATATATCATCATCAATAACCTTTTATTCGTCCCGTGTAGGGAATGTAACCCGGATATTAAGTAATTTCAAAAAGTCCGATTTTTTTTTTAATTTACGCTTCCGCAAACTATTTATTTATTATTTATTTAATAGTTTATTGTACAGGAAAAATACAAGTCACAAAGAATACAAGCGAAATTAAAAACAAAAGGTTCTGCTTATTTCTAATAGAAATTTCTTCCTGCAGACCTAAATACAGGACACTATAACTAAAAGAACGGGCACAACAAAACAAGGAAAAAATAATATAAAAATAATATAATAATATTAAATTGTTATAAATTATATAAATACTTAGATAAATACATATTTTATAATATAATACCTAAGATATGGATGGAATAGTAGATAAATAATGCTCTTTAACTCTCACTTTAAAAATAGCTAACGATTTGCTTTCGTGAACAGTAATACGAAGTGCATTCCAAAGTCTGACCGCATGAACAGTGAAGGAGTGAGAATAGAAACCGGAATTTACTACTACGGAACTATTATATATATACTAGTCAGTGTTTTTGAATTTTACTATATATTTTTTCCAAAGTGATTCATTCAACACTTTCACTGTTATGCGAAATAAACCAAAGCCATTTGAGGTTGTATCGCTCTTAAGTCGAGCCGTACCTCAATCATCTTCTCTCGATTCTTAGTAGGATTCATGGGCGGCTCGGTGAGCAGTATCTTAGTCTCGTGGGGATCTACATTCATCTTACTCGGCCCAAACGTGTAGTCCCACACGTGGCACATGTCATCCCAGTTGCGCACAACCTGAAAACATTTTAATTTGAATAAATAATAAATAATGAACAAAAAGCCGTGGTAACCTAATGGTTTGCTCTGCCGCCTCTCAAACAGAGGCTGTAGGTTCGAATCTGGGTTTGCACCTCTAAGTTTTTCGGAATTCATGTTTGAAATTTAATTTGTAATTAACTTCAGCTTTTCGAAGAAGGTTCACAAACCTCGGGAAACGTGTGAAGTCCCTAACCCGCATTGGGTCAGCATAACGGACTATGGCTTAAAATCCTCGTCTGAGAGGAGACCCGTGCCCAACAGTGGGAATTATAAATGGGTTGATGATGATGAAATTATTTAAGCAGATGAATTAGACATATTTCGATACCTCCAACGAAGTCTACGCCAACTTTATTTTTTGGACATTTCCTGTTATTTTTGTAAGCCATATTTATTTACTTATATTATGCTCCCCGAATTTTGTAAAAAAAATTAAGGAAAGAAAAAAACAAAATAAAACAGAACAGGTCCAAAAAATTAATAAATGACATTGAAAATTACAAGTTACAAAGGACATATAGCTTATCTCTATAATATTTAATTATTTTTATGTGAAATGAATTACTCCACTAGTTTGTTATAATTATTAATACAAAAATCGAACACTCAGAAAAAATTCCTTCGATCCGGCACGTGTAGGACATATAGCTTATCTCTAGAAGATATCTCTTCCTAGCCAACCCTAGCCGTGGTGAATAAGTTGACGTAGTGTTGTGAAGGCATCGATTTTTTTAAACAACTGGCCCACGTGATGATATAAAATAGTAATACATGCTATGCTATTCCTTTCCTGCAAACTTATTCCCTGAACGCTAAAATTTATCAAAGCGAAAGTGAGTAGGTATTATTTAGGTCTGCACTTTTCGTCGTCACCTCTTCGTCACACTGACACTTGACGAACTCGGTGGCCATGACGGTTGCCACCATTCCCGGTTGGACCCATTTGCAATTATTTTAATCTTGACTTTTTTAACATGTAACCATCGAGTATATAACCAGAAATTGAGACAAAATATCATTTAATTTGTTTAAAAACTATTCTGCCAAATCATTTCGGTGACAACTGCGCTCCGATTGGCCAGCACGAAATCGAAACAATTGACGGGTGTCGTCAATTGTGTCACTTTAATCGACCAGTTTAACTTGAGCTTCGCTATAATGGACGAAAATTGAAAAATTACTTAATTAATATTTAATTACCGATGAAATACGATTCCGTTTGTTTTGTAATTAGATGTTTTGCTGTTTTTCCCACATCACCGAATGGGACAGCCCCCCATTGTTAAGATATTATCTTTGTTACAATAAATACAGACTATTTTTGGAATATACGGAGACGTACATGCAGGTCAGTTGTTGGCGCTGTACTGTTTAATTTTCTTCGAATTTGTGAGTTCAGAGAATTGACATTTAAAAGTGATATAAGGCCCATTTGCCTGATGAGTTGCCAGGGATGGACAGACCTTATTTCGTCTCTATTTTTGATTATATACTCGATGCATGTAACATATATTTGAATGGTGGTTCCAATTTACAAACAGGCCATGGCAGAATAACAGCGAAGGTTATGTAATTAGCATAGTCCTCAGATGCTGAGTTAAGGATTCTTTTGAGATGTTTTTTATTCAATTTATTTTTTATTAAAGTTATTAATACAAGGATCGAACACTAAGAAAAAATTCCTTCGATCCGGCCGGATTCGAACCGACGTCTTCTAGCATACCGTGGCAGACGCTATACCAACTAAACCACGGAACGAACTTAGAACCTCACGAATTTTTCTATGTGCTTTGTAAATGGTTTTTCAAAGACTTTTTAGCCGTAGCGCCATCTATGAAATCTTATGAAAGTATTTAGTCACCCAGTTAGATACCTTTACAGCTATCAGCCCCGGCTAGAGATGTCGCTATTCACTATATTTAAATTTATATTGAATTGATATTTAATTATTTTTATGTGAATTTAATTACTCCACTAGTTTGTTATAATTATTAATACAAAAATTGAACACTCAGAAAAAAATCCTTTATTCCGGCACGTGTTATAACAAACTAGTGGAGTAATTTCACATAAAAATAATTGAATATCAATTCAATATAAATTTATTTTTATTAAGTTTTTTTGTTTGAAATTTATGTATTTTGCATGTCAAGTAAACACTATTTTATTTATTTTTTTATTTATTTTAATTCCCTTTTTTTACGCCTACGGAAATGCGTTACGCATACCACACGGCTTTGGGGAACAGCGCACAGTTATGTGGGACTCTTAGGCAGTAGCCCCATAAGCCCACTAAAACCCAGAGGTAAACCCCATCGCCACAGAGATGCGCCCCAAGATGCGCTTGCGCATACTACTGGGACGTCTCGGCGGATGGCTCGCAGGAAGCGGGCTCCGGCCTTCGGAAGGTACCCAGGGGTAACATAAGGGCATCCTCAAGTTTGGTGGTAAGAGTCCACCAACCCGTCTACGGTCATAGTATAAGGAATGTCCTAGTTTGAGACCAGGCAATCAGTGTGGTTGTCTGACACTGATTAAATTTGTAAGTAAACCTAGGTACTCTTATTCTTATAAATATAATTTCATTTTTATTTTATTTTTGTACTAACAGCACAGTGGAGTACAAATCTAAAGTAAATAAAAAGCCCATGTCCGAAAAAAGTGTATAGTAAGGAGGTTTAGTTCTGTAATATCCTGTAAAGATAGTTTCATTTCGTAGTCACTCACTCCATTCTCCATAGGATAGCTGACTTCCAACATAGACCTGAGTTGAGAAGCTTCATCGCCCACCATCAAATCCTGAAAGCGATACAACACTTTAGTTGTCAATATATTAAGTTCTGTTTATATTTTGCTTAGTTTTTAGCATCGAGCAATTAGTGTGTCGCGAGTGGTAATCCGTTGATGCATTCGAAATCCAAACTACTAATCACTAAAGTATCTCACTAATGAAAGTGTAAACAAGCCTAAATAACGAAGCATTCAGGTCTATGATCACGGTATAAACATTAGGTGATGACTGTACAAATCTCACCCCTCTTGGAAGAATGGCACAAGTGGAATTACGTCAAAAACATTTAGTGCTCAATTAGATACAGAAAAATATAACCCACATCTTCTCCAATTCTTGTAACTCTATCGACTAATATTGTAGGTAGAGTTACAAGAATTGGAGAGGATGAGGGTTATATTTTTCTGTATCTAATGGGGATTATATTTTTCTATATCTAATCGAGCAATAAACATGTTTGACGTAACTCCATTTATGCCATTCTTCCGTGAAGGCTGCGTTAATGTAAACAAACTACTGAAGGCATCGACGTCTTATTTCAAAGTGCATATGATAGCACTGTTTCAAAACTAATTTGAGAACATAACACTTCTAAATTTTTTCTGGTTTGAGTGATCCACACGTAATTTCGTTGTTCAAGTACTTTTTGTACAGGAAAATTCCTAGTTGTTACACAATATATATTATATAATTGTTTGTTTTCATGACTTAAATGTGTAAAAATTAATACCGTGATCAAAGAAACAGCCTGTGTGTAAATAAAACAGACACAACACAATTTTACATGTTATGACAAAAAAAAAACAAGAGGCACTCTATTATAATAAATGCATAATTATTACACACGCTTACATATATTTAACAAGAATAAAATTCTAATATTGCTAAATGAAAATTGTTAAAAAAATATTTATAATCATTATATTTACAAGATTATGAAAAGACACCCTATTATTGGAGTGCTATTTAAAAAAAATCGATGTTTTGAAGCGAACTAAGATATAATACACTCATGGACTTTTTAGAGAAAAGCTGTGGAAAGTTTCAATTATGATGACAATGTTCTCATATGTATCACAGGCCATATATACCAGAACGTTTAATCGGATTCAAAAAACGATTGAAAACATTCATTATCTTTATCTAAATTCTATTTTTGCGAAAAATTGCTTCTGGTGCCATGAACTCTAAGGTTTAACTCACTTCTGGCCTCTTCGAATTTTCGGCGGAATGCATATCTCTTGCGTGCGAGGAATAGCTTCAATGTATTCTCCAAGCAGGTTAATATTTACCTTTTTAACATTTGTGTTGCATCGGTGAAGCGTCTTTTTAGTAGTTAATTTTTTGGCTAGTAGGTAATTATTAAGTGTTGCGAAAATGTCATTATCTATATAGTATAGTTACTAGTTATATAGTTATAATTTAATGCTCATAAATCAACTTAGGCGCTGCGCAGATGGAGTAACTTTGATTATCGAGTTTCGGCAACTGGCAACTTGCAACTAGCTCTTTATGATGTTTATCATATAATTTCAAGAAACCGCGTAGACGTAGCAACTTCAGTTGAGAGTTTCGGCAATCGACTACAGTTTTCGATTGCCGAAATCCGTGATTAAATAAATTCTTAATTGCCGCAACTAGAAACTTGCAAATTTGTACCGGTTGTCTCCAGTTGCCAGTTTCCGCAACCGACAACCGCAACTCGTGCAGCAACTTCAATGACTCCCCGTCCCCCGCAGCGCCAGACTTGATCGTAGATTTCGAAAGTTTGTTTAAAATTAACGGCAACCGGCAACTAGGCCTTTTAATTGCTACCACAGGAAACCGTAAATGGAAACTTGTAAAAAGTTGCCAGTTGCGTCAACTAAAGTTGCTCCATATGCGGAGCGCCTTTATATGTGTCTATCGGTGAGGACCTATAATTAGCTCTCCGTTATTATTTCAGTTTTTACTCTGATGGGGTCGAAACACAAAACTGCTATTCGGCGCAATGGGAATTCGCACCACAGAAAACTACGACGCCAATTTGCTGTGATGCGATTTCGTGCGGCAAGGCATCTCACTGCCACGGTTCGGGTAACCATTCCTTCGACGATCATCAACCGTACTGAACTTATTTTTTAAGCTAGGTTGCGACATGTTGTACTGCTGTTATTGATAAGAAAGTATAGGAAAAAAACACAAAGAAGACACATCATCATTAACATCGCAGGAATGCGCGATGCGGAGCAATTCGCAAATTCTTGAGATGCGTCGTGCGAGCTCGCTGATTTCTGTGATGCGACGTCACATTGCAGTTTTCTGTTTCGACCCTAAGGGCGCGTTCCCACTATGTCGTCACGTTTTATTATCGTTGGACGACTGTCGTGTCTAACCTGTTCCCATATCACGACTATCTGTCGTGGACGATTTTTTATCGTTGAACGACTATCGTGACTAGCTGTTCCCACTAGATCGTGACGACAATAGGACCTGCGACAATCTGTCGTCACGTTTTTATCGTGACTTTTTTTATCGTCTGACGACTGTCGTTCTAGCTGTTCCCACTGTGACGACAGTTTGTCGTTGTAACGATAAAAAATCGTGAACGACAGTTAATCGTGTCGTGCTATATGTGAACAATTTCATTTAAATACACAAGCCACGACACTGTAAACTGCACGACAACCTGTCGTCACGGCATAGTGGGAACGCGCCCTAAGTCTTCTAATAACTTAAAATAAAATAAATTAATTAAACGTTTATTAACGTTTATTAATTTCATATTATCAATGTCACAATATTACAATTAAAAATACAATGCCACGGGATAGTATGATCGTCACTAATGCAAACAATAACAATTAACATATAATAAAGTAGTATAACTACTGCTTGTGGCATGTAATGTATATGTACGTATATGTGGTTCATATTATGAACATTGCTATCATAATTCAACCTTTTTTAGCGTTCCTCCAAATATGTCCATGAGTATATATAACAATGCAACTTAAATGCAGAATAAGTACAGTCTGACCGTTTAAGAACGTCCTCGCCTTAGGTAGTCGCGCGGAAAGGAGACGGGTGTAATGTTTTCACTCCGCCAAATCACTCACCAATAATCGGTAAATTGTCATTCACATGTCTTACGTATTAGGTTAAAAGCAATGATAGAAGGTTCTGGGTTTCAATGCCACCGGTGGGCATAATAAATACATCACTGATAACATCTAAGCCAAGTGCAATTCACAATTATCAATGCCTTTGTGAAGTAAAACGTCGTGGTTCAAAAGGTCTCTGAAAATCCCAATCTCCCCATTGCGTCAGCGTTTAGTACGAAGGCACTCCTATCATCATAAATCATCTCCTAGAGAAGAAGAATGGTCAGCCACCAATGACACAGTGACTGATTTTCTTAATCTACACACCCCGAAGGACGACCACGTACGTCCCCCCAATCCCCCTCTTCCCCGTCACTACTCAAGGCGCAGACTAGCTTGAAAGATCAGACTTAATATAATTGTTGTGTATGTTTTGATTTTAAAAAGTGATAGGAGAAGAACGAGATATCGCTGTCCTGTTCTGCCTTGCAGTATTAAGTGCAAGTATAAGCTAGATAGAAATCTATTGCTACTGTGCATTTACCTGCACATATTCTGCATCGTACGTCTGGTGAGCGTGAAATATATGTAACAATCAGATCCAAATGCTTTTCGAAAGTTAGAAGTGAATTAGGAAACGTTTGCTCAATTGCTTCTGTTTCTGTGCTTTTTAAATTGTTAAGTAACAATAAATCAAACATTACAAACACTTCAAGTTAGTCAAAGATTTTGTATTTTTTTTTTGTACACTTGAGTATATTCCTATTTGTGACAGGTAAAGTTCACAAATCACCAGAATTACCCAGGCAACTTTGCCTGACTAGTCACTTGCAAACTTTACCCATAACAGATAGATATTTTGAATAAACATGAAGAGCTCCACACACAAGCGCAGCGCTACACGACTGTCACAGCTGGCTTAGGTAAAAACTATAAACTAATATTACCCAAGCCAATCGAATTTAAGTCACGCCGGGCTCCATGTATGGAGTTCAGCCAGTCAAACAATTACCAGGTTTCTCACCATGGTAAATCGTTCAATGAAAACCACAAAAATCTTAAAATCTAATTCACAATTGTCTAAATAATTTAATAATTTAGACAATGTCTTTTAATATCACAATTCCTGTACAGTCAACGGACTTTACGTTTTAAAAGACATAGCTTTTAATTAAATTGCAAAACTAATGGCCACACGGCAATACATTAAAGTATACAAACTATCAATTTTCATTATTGATTTAAAACTTCCAATGCCAAAGTCCAGTTTCCAATAATAAATCTCAACAGTTTGTGTACGTTGTTTTGAGTTTCATCATGCTTTTAGTCTGTTAGACCATGACAGAAGAACCATGCCAAGATCATAATGGAACTTACTCCAATACAAATGTCCTGAAAACATTTAGATATTAATGTTTATCATATCGATAAATAAAAGCACATTGCTTGGTGAGTATGACAAGTTCAAAGAGGGTCTGTCAATTATCAAATATGCCAAGAAGCATACTTCTAATTATCAATTACAACTAAAATCTTGTAAGCCGACCATAATGAATGGACAAGCTTATGCAGTTACACCGTAATAACAATTATTTTTGTGATATACATTTGTATACAGCAATCAGACTATATACTTGTACGTAGATGGCTAACAGCTCTTATGATCCTAACCTTAGGGACTGACCACACTTATAGATGTGGACTCTGCTTGAGCCAGAGCGAAAAAGATGTGTCATTTGCTTCGGCAATCCGAGCTTTTTTCTCTCTTATAGGTTTTTTGATCAGAATAGTGACCTTAATGTTGCAAATGCGTTGCAAGCCATGAGACATAGCATCTCAAATCTCACTGTGTTTGTGAATGCACTGACTTCATTCATTTTTTAATTGTTGTTACGTTCTTTATTGTTTTTTGACAGATACATAAATAATATACCATATATCCTTAGTTTGTAAGTGAAGGTGTCAAGACTTGAACACATTCTAAAAAGCACATCTTGGTACTTGGTGTAACGGGCTGGTGTCCGCAACTCGACGACAAGGCGCCTATTTTGCGTGTGGTAAAAGCACATATTATTACAAAGAAAAATACCACCAGTGACCAGTAGTGAGATATAGCTATTCTCATATAGAGATGTTGTGCCTTATGATGCTCTCGCGCAAGTGGCAATGAACAAAGAAAAATCATATCAATATATGCTTTTCATTAAATCTTTGAAGATATCTAAAATCCCCAGCTCGCAATGGGCTAAATGGACTATCATGTAAATCATCTTTTTAGATAGGGAACTTGCCCAACAGGGTGATAAGTATTAATGAAATATAAAAGATCTTAATACATCCTTCTAAAACCTATTGTAGAAATAACATTGACACTAGCAGTTAACATTACGGTAACTCCAATTTTATACTAATTATTCAGTTAATTTAAATTTAATTCAAAATCACAAATTAATACAAAAAGTAATAATCATATATTTTATAATCTATGTTGAATAAAATGTGTTTAAAAATTAAAAAGTTATTGCAAGTTTCTTTTATAGGCTCTGATATAAAGGTGAAATTTTTAAGTTACTTCAGCCTTAATTGCTGATGTTGAAATAACTGTAATGTATATATGTGTACAATATATAATTAAAAAAAACAGTAATTAAGATATATCTCATAAAAAATTTCAAGAAACGAAAATGTGCTTGTTTAGGAAAATATTGACACTGGTGTCGTCATGGGGAAAACCATGTCAATATTCTTGTTTTACAATTAATTTATCCAGGTATTTGGAGATCCCAAAGAATATTTCACCATTCATGAAAGACTTTTATGAAAGTCAACAATTTTGAATAAAGAATTAGGAAATAGGCTTGTCCCAAGAATCCCTATTCATGTAAAAAAAAAACTGGCCACAACTTACGCTGGAGTATAATAATTGTGACCGCGTAATCCCTTTATTGATAATATTGTCACATACCTCAACTTCCTATTACGAGCGAATTGTCACATACCTAGACCTCCCTCTAACAGCAAAAATTGTTACATACCTTTACATCGATATCTCCAATTTTATTTTCCGCCCTGATGATCGGCCGGCCAACCATGGACGGGAAAATAAAAGCAGGAAAGTTACTGCCCGCGTATCCACACTTTACGAACTGAAAGAATGTATTTCATTAAGGAAATTGATGATTCAAAACCTTATCTTCACCATTGAGTACGTAGTGAAAATTGATGTACTTACGCCCGTGCCATTGTCGCAAACAATCACTTTTCTTCCTTGGTCATCCATTGTGTGCGTTTGCTAAAGATTTAATTTTAAAATGCACTATTTCTATATAAATTTTATAAATAATCGGAATCCCTCTACCGTAAGCAAAGAACTTGTATGACAGTTTGCTATGGATGACAAATTGGTGATAGCTCGCAACAAACCATATAGGAATTTGTAGCTTAATACACAACAAGAAAGACTATTTTTCTTTGGTATTTAATATGACACACCTCCACACCTCGCCCGCAGTGGTTAAAAATCGCTCTCGCTCTCTGTCTTTCATAAAATAAACGAAGAAGACAAAATATAGTATAGTTATGGTTAGTAGTTTGTGGTTATGGTGGTCCCCTGAAAAAAAAAATGTACCTGGAATTATACATAATCGATCGATTTTGATACTAAAACGTCGTGTCTCTATACCAACCCTTAGAGGATGGAAAAAATACCAACCAAACGGATTCGCTCTGGGCCTTTTGGAGAGAAGTGTCGTTTTTATTTTGAATTTCAATTATTTTGTGAAATCTAGTTTAAAGTGGAGTAGGATAGTGCTATTATTCCTTAATCGAAGATTAAAACGCCAAATTATATGAATCTCGAACTAAAATACCCGTATTGGTATTGGCCCGTTCTAAGGAATCCCGAGTCAATCCAAGCACGCCCCACTGTGATTATATTATATAGGCCATAGGCCATAAATCAAAAAAAATCATTGGCTTATCCCGGTTAGATCAACTCACTAAGTTAGTAACTAGTTAACAAGCTTCCAAAAACTATAAAATATATCAATGTAATTAAAGAGTAAACTTATTTATTATATCATATCCACAGAGTTCAAGATCGCATGAAATACAATATGAAACATATAAACATAAAAAAAGAAACTACCAGTATTATATTACTCGAAACTTAATCACTTTGTTTTTGAGTGTCACTATTCCAAATCAAGTGTTTACGTGTTGTGAAATCATGGAGATCCAAGAGCATGGTATGTACTTTTATTATCAATTTTTTTTAATTTTTTTTATGCATACTTTTTTTTATATAATTTTTTTATTGAAGGCAGTTTTTTGGTGAAAATTTTTGGCATAACTTAATTTCCTTTAGACCTACAACTTTTGGCTGCGCTGAGCTGCACCTGAGGTATATGGTTTTTGAATAAGGAGTATGTCCTTATTAAGAGCTATAAGTTTCATTTGCATCTTGCTGCCTCTTCTTGGCTTAAAGGGGTGTCAAAGTATGCATGTCCATAGTATTGAATTTTTAATTTTTTTTTAAGTTCAGCTTTCATATTGTTTTAGGTACATTTTTCAAATGTTCTGTATCGAGGATGACAATTTTTGATATTTGGCACTCTAAAGTGGGTAATCCAAATGAAAAAATGCAACACGTCCTGAGCACTTTGACCGAAACATCATCCCTTTCTGACGACATCGAAAATATTGATTTAGAGACTTTAAGCCTTAAAATTAAGAATATTTGTAAACGAATTTCCCACTACTGGGCAAAGTCGAATCGTACTAGATCTAAATTCTTAGAAAAATATTCAGATTGGCTGCATGTCGTTGAAAATATTGATGTACAGCGAACTGAGTTACGTGTATCTCAGAGCTTTGACGAAGTTAAACCATCAACTTCTTCATCGCATGGCCGTCCGAGAATTAACTTTGACGACACCAGTAAACGTACAAAAAGGAGAAGATTGGCTAGTTTGTCTAACCAAGACCCTTCTCTTGTACAGTCATTGCTCAATGCGTCCGATAGCTTGTCTTGTCCTGAAATCGATTCTAGCGAAGTTTTATCGCTCATTGTTGAAGCTCAGTTAACTCGACATCAATATATATTAGTAAAGAAATTTATAGACAATAAGTTTTCAAAAACCATTTTCCCATCTTACCAAAGTGTCGTGGAATCTAAAAAACACTGTTATCCTTCAGATATTACTGTTACAGAATCATCCGCCGAAATCGAACTTCAAAGTTTATTAGATCATACTGCCAATCGGATTCTCAAGTCTCAAAAAGATGTTTTGGATAGTGTACCTAATGAGTCTCTAGATAAGATATCTTTGATAGGGAAATGGGGTTTCGATGGCAGTACAGGGCATTCAGAATATAAACAGTGTTTTTCTGACTCCACTCTTGAAGACAGTAGCCTGTTTGTTACTTCGTATGTGCCACTTCAGCTTGTTTTGACAACAGATAACAAAGAAAATTCAGTAGTTTTGTGGAAAAATCCTCGTCCTTCATCAACTCGATACTGTCGTCCTATACGCCTCCGATATTTGAAGGAATCGACTGCAGTGTCAGTTGAGGAAGAAGCTCATTTTAAAGATAAAATAAGGAACTTGCAGCCTACTGTTTTCAAGGAAGAAGATCGCGAATATCGCATTACTCATTGTTTGCAACTTACTATGGTAAATGGTAAAGTGTGTAATGCACTTAGTGGTGTTTCTTCATCAAAATGTTTTATTTGTAACGCCTTGCCCAGTGAAATGAACAAAATTGACGAATGTTTAAATAAGGAAGTCGATGAGAGTAAATATGAATTTGGTTTATCACCTCTTCACGCGTTAATACGTTTTTTTGAATATTTTGTTCATGTCGCGTACAAGTTAGATGTTAGGAAATGGCAAGCTAGGTCCGCTAATGACAAAATGCTTGTTGCTGCAAAAAAATCATATGTTCAGACTCAATTTAGAGAAAGATTAGGGCTTATAGTGGATAAGCCTAAAAGTGGCGGAAGCGGAACATCAAACGATGGTAATACAGCCAGGCGGTTTTTCTCGAATTCAGAAATTTCCGCTGAAATTACTGGGATCAAGAAGGATCTCCTAGATCGTTGCTGGATCATCCTTCAATGTTTAAATTCGGGATATAATATTAATAAGACGAACTTCGAAGAGTTCGCTTTAGAGACGGCTCGGCAGTTAGTTGCCGAGTATCCGTGGTATAACATGCCTGCTTCCGTTCACAAAGTTCTAATTCATGGTGCTAATGTTATAGATTACGGTTTGTTGTCAATCGGAGAGTTGTCTGAAGAAGCAGCTGAAGCGACTAACAAATACATCAAGTCTTTTAGAAAAAATCATACGCGTAAAATGAGTCGCATTGTGACCAACACAGATTTAGTAAATAGGCTGCTTCTTCATTCAGATCCCTTCATAACAGGTCTACGAAAGTTACCTGTTAAAAAAAAGGTGTACTGTCAAAAGCTGTATTAGACTTGTTATGTATTTAAAGTTAATATTGTTGAGATTTAATGTATTTTGGTATAATTTGTGTTTTGTTTGTATTTTGTAAAATGAACTTTTTTATGTATTTTTATTGTTTTAATTTATTCATTTGTGGTTATTGTTAATACAAATAATCATTATTTACACAGTTTTACCATTAAAAGTCGCAGTATAAAATGTTTTAGATACATCGTCTAAAAACAAAATTACTGCGAGACATTTTTACACCTAAATATTGTCAAATATTTTTTAAAATGTATAATTTTATTAATTTACGTTTACCTAATCATATTTTAACGTAATAAAATAAAAAAATAATAATAATTTCGGAGTTACGTATTTATGACCGCCTTAGTATGGAGCGTGAATCACCGTGCGCCCGCCTCAAATTGCCTATTCTCATTGTGGCGACCATATTTACAGAAACATAATTAAACGAAGACATGGCTCAAAGAACTTATATCCAAGCCAAAATCATTAATAAAAAAAACAACCAAATGTTGTGTTTGACAGTTGAACTGGGCTGTCAATGTCAAAAAAAGCGTGTGATTCACGTGTGATTGTTATTGTGAATTCAATAAAACACAAAATAGTGTGTTTAAGTGTGTAAAATAAAAGTTTAAATTAAGAGAATGAAGCACAAAAGGTTTGAAGAAAACATTCTAGTTGACGAAGCTTACACTAATTACGGCAAAGTTGACAAAAACGCCGACGAAAAGAAGACTCATGGAATTGCAAAACATTTCGCTGATACATTGGAATATGAGGAGAAAAAGAAGTGGTATCATCAAGTAAAGTATCCACTTATTAATTATACAGCGTGTTCTATCGTTTTTTATAAAGTTAAAGGTATTAAAGTTGGTGTTATTTATTTGTCGAGGTAACCTATATATGCATATTTGCCTACGTGCTACCAGTTAATACGCTGTGTGCCCTTCGCAGTTTCACCATAAGTAGGGTGATAAAGGAGGCCCCAGTGGCTAGTATCCAGCGCACATAACCATTGAAGGGTGACCTGCAGCCATGTTAAACTCTACATATTATTCTATCTTTCAATGCACCAAGAATACAGTACAAGAACATCTTTACGATGCTGTTGAGACTGCCATGGCACTGCAGTGCCATGAACCACGAACAGATGACTTTTTTGCCATTAGGTGAAAAAGTTGTCGTTTAGCAATGGCATCCCAAGGATATTTGCCTGTCATCTAGACTGTACAATTTTAAGGTTACTGGTGAAATTCAGTTGTGATTTGTGTATTTTGAATTTCATAGTTTAATATTTTAATTAACATCCAATATTTCGTCATTGCAATTGTACTATAATGGTTTTTAGGGATTCCTTTTGTAACAAACACCATTATCACATGGACCATGGCCTGAAATAAAATTTTCATTATTATTATAAGGAAGGGCTGTAGGGGTGTGTGTGGATGCCCATCATAGGGATCAGAGGATCCCACTAGTTCAGATCCGGAGGATCGATATGAGGTCAAGGACCTGTTAGGACAATTATAGTAGTCCTATGAAGTAGAATGGAGTTAGAAGAAGTGTACATGATTATGATTGAACCTTAGGCGTGGAGACATAAGCGTGTTTGTATTGCTTCTAAAAGTCACCATGTGTAACTTCAACTTTACTTCAGATCAACTTACTATTTAGATATCCAGACCCAAGGCATGTGGTGGTCTTTGTACTCTCGCAGGCCCCTTAAATTTTTATATGTTCACAGATGCCAGAAGAACCAGGGACATTTGTAAAAATATTGAATCAAGAGCAAATAGAGGAAATTAGAAAGGAAGCAAACAGTGCTTTGCATGGAGATACAATGGCTTATGAAACAAGTAAGTACTATCAAAGCATTGAGTTCTTTTTTTAGGTTCTCGCTATTGTTATACATAGGAAATGAAACTATTTTATCAGATCTGTCGTGAATATTTGTTATTTCAAACAAAACTCTTTGTTTTTGCATTGATAAAACAAATATATGTGATTTAAATGTAAAAAAAATAGTTTAATTTCCCATTAAGTGTTTATTACAATTTAATGTTTATGCTGCTGTAAGATAATGTAAAAACATAATCTTATAAACTTCATTTAGACTAACTACATTGCTGCAACTGCAAAATAGCAATTGGCACAACATTACAGTAATAGCATAATGTGTGTGTGCTTTACAACCTTCATCTGCTAATGCCAATCCAAAGTCCAGTTACTTCTTTTGACAAAAATGCATGGATTGTTGATGGAACATATTAATATTATTAGGAAGGCTCGTACAGAGGCAGTGTTGCCCTGCAACCCTTTAAATGCCAATTGATTTATTGTAATCATGACTAATTACAACTCAGAAGCCAAGAGCAACTCAGCTAAAGAACTATAAAATTGCCTTGACTTCCATTGGCTTAACCTCTGGCGAAAGCATGTGTATGCCTGATAATATTAGTATTATTATTAGGTTGTCTTCATTCAGAGCCTTTGCAACTCACACACTTGACTAATATTGCCCATTATAGGGCAACATTAATTAAGTGCAGAGAAGTTTCATCTGCTTCATGACGCAATATACAGTCTCTGCTCTGTCATAGCTTGACATTGGACATTTGCTCATTTAAGCCTCAACATCTCGTGAGAGCCCTACCTCGCATTCTGATGCCATTCCAGTGCCAGAGCTTCTCTATAGTGTTTAACACTGTAAGTGTTAATCAAAACTTTCAACTGTTCTATACAAAGTTCAAGTAATATTGTAAATAATTTCTTTGTAGAAACAAACAGAAGTGGCTCATCAGACCACCAATGGGCTAAGACTTTGCTGAACAAAGGCGCTATCGGAGACAGAGTAGCTGCAGCCACAATTTTGATACAGGTATAGAATGTTATGTATGCATGTATATCATAGAGTAGTAACACCTATGAGCACTACTTTCAGCTATACCTTACCTTGGAGTAGGGACACCAGGATGCTGGTGTTAAGAATCTTACGGTATTGTTTGTTAAAGTAAAATCCAAGCTTCACATTCACACAAGTTTTGTAGAAGCAGATGGATATTGTTAAATTTAGGTTTCTTAGGTACAGTTACGATGTTCTGACGCCGGCCGACGTGTAAATATTTTTGAAATGAAGAACATCTGCTTAATATATAAATAAAGTAATACATTTTGCTAAAATAAATGAAGCAAAATTGGTTGCCTGACTTATATCCTTAGACAGTTGATGATCAAAAGTGTCTAGGGATTGATTACATATTATTTTACCACAACACTATGTGTTGTCTATAAGACTCGCTCTCTTTGTCTAGTGCTTCTGCTGGCCATGCCACAGGCGCTCGCTGCTAAAACTTGTGTAACTTTAAATAGTGACAATAAATATTGAGAATAATTTAACACATTTATATGTTGTCCTGCCAACAAATGGACGCCGGGTCCACTACAAAATACACGAAAAGAATGTCCGAAGTTAAATTTAAAAAAAAAAATAACCTATACAAATGTCATTACATTTGTATAGGTTAATTTCAGACAATTACATGTGACTACATGTAACGAAATATAAAACTAAAACATTTAATTTAAATTGTAATTTCATTGCAGCACTGTCTAATTTTGCTTGCAACAATTTAATGGCCCAAAAACACCATTTTCAGCTTCTACTGGAAATTTAACAAAATGCGCCATATTTAGCTTCGACTGAAAATTACTTGAACACAAGAGTAATGGAGTAGCCTTTATCGTAAATATTAATAAATTTTTATATATATTATGTCGAATTTTGTACAAATTCACTTAAAGAAATAATAAAGAGTTGGCAGGTACATGCATACAAATATTACTACAAATGTGAAAATAAGCGTGTACTATAAGAAATGTACCGATATTCCAACTAAACGTAAACTCAAATATCCGTAATTTCGAAAACCGATTTATAATAAAACCGTTACGCTTTCGAGTAATTTTGATGCTTTTTACAAAGACTAAATTAACTTTTGTTTAGGAAATGAAACTATTTTTCCGGATTTAAATCGCGTATATTTGTTTTTTCAAACAAACTGACGTTTCGGGCCCTGGTCCCATGGTCTATAAAAATAGTTTCATTTCCTATGTGTAACAATCGCGAAAACCTAAGAACTTAACTTTTGTTTTTTAATCTTCCTAAAAAAATACATATGACATTATGAAAATTCGACCTAATGTTATTTCGGGCAAATGTATTTTCTGACTTCTGAAAGGTAATCCCAAGCCGTAAAACGAGTACAACAATATTTTGTTCAATAATGCTAACGTTTAATAAAAAATCATTTTAAAAATAAGATTAAAATCAAAACGACTCTATAGTTTCTTTGTTCTAAATATTTTAATCGCTTGTGGTTCGAACAATTGAAAATGACCAATAAGTTTATATAAACTTCTTGAAATTGACGTAATAGGTCTTTTTCCATCTTTTGCGCATGCATTGTGCAGAAAAACGACAGTTAGCTATTTGATTATTTTGTGTGCTTTTGTAATTTATATTTACGATTCGTGTATATATAAATTAAATACTATAAAACTGTACAAAATAACACTTTTAAATGAGAACTATGATAACACAATATATTTGTTTAGTGAAAATATGATACAAAATACTGTTTTTACACTTTACAGCAGTAATTTTTACAAGTTATTATTATATGGCACTGCATGATTGACAACCGCGCTGTCAGTCGAACAAACGAAGTCTGTTGCGCGATTGACGCTCTGTATGTGATTTTAACGCCCTATATATAGGTGCAGACACTTTTTAGCGCGAACCCGATGTCCATATGTTGGTAGGTGAATGAATTAATATAAATATTTTTATTTAACATTTTTATTAATAAGGTAGGGTAAGCAAAAAAAAATCGAACGTTTAAAAAAACCGACCTCAAAAGTTCGCGGAATTACCTACATCTCTTTGCCAAGTTTTATTGAAATCGGTTACCGGAAAGTGCGCGAAACTGGATTCATCCCCTAGTTTGACACCCTTAGAGATGGAATATGTTCTTGATATTTAAATGGGACCACTACTGAGGTACCCTTTTTCCAACGAAAAAAGAACCAACAAAATTTTATTTTATTTTTGAGGGTACAAACAGCTTGTATCACAATGTAATAGAAACTATATTAAATAATTATAAGCAAAAACAGTTTCACGTAAATCGGCTCACAAATCGCATTAATCGGTTGTCGCGTAAAAAAGCAGTCGAATTGAGAACTCCTCCTTTTTTAAATCGGCTTAAAAACTATATAGCAAACGCGCCAGCTGTATCCAAACTCCGTTCCTAATGCTATTTTGCTTTTTTAAATTAATAATTAAATTTCTTCTGTTTCAGGATAATCCATTGACCAACTTAACGGCTCTCAGAAACCTAATTAACAATGTGAAACCAGCCAAGAAAAAAGATGGAATAGTCATTATTGGTAAATATATTTATGTTCTATTGTAATTTTTAAGTTGCAAACCAGCTTAGGTAATTGTATGTCCTACAACGGCAATGCTGTCTTTTCTTGGACGACGTACGTAACCTGACGTACAGGTTAAGAATGGTGCGTCGTGCTGCGAGGTTCCTTTCGTGCAATCCAATGATCGCCATTAACATGTATCTGGTCTTCAGACTGGTTTTATTATTTATTTAGGACAACTTACAAAACATACACAAACAATTGGTCAAAACAGTAGAGATTGGAGCTCGAGTTTTTGTGTTGTTTCATTTACAAGTTGCCACGGCGTGCGTATATACATAGGAGCATTAAAAAAAAATTAAAGTAATTGACTAAATTATAAATAAGAGCTCTCATGCCAAAAAAGTTTTGACGTTGGCTCCGCCCAAATTTGTGAAACAAATACCCGGTGGAACGGAACGACCGACAAAGCCGAAAATATCACGTTAAGAACCCCACATACATGAGTTTTATTTACTTTAAATAAAAATCAGAGCAGTTGGAAAATGTTCGTCCAGATTTAAAACTTTCGCGGTGCAACAACCCTACGCGAATCAATCGTGTTAGTACATCTACTGCCCCACAGGCGGCGTTCGTGTCATTGGCACTCGCAAAAGAAATAAGTGTACTCACTTGAATAGGTAATTAAAAAACATTGAACTTACTTTAAATTAAAAGGATGTTCGATTTGTCCACGTCCCCTTTATTCTTGCAGACATTCAGACATTTCAGACACATTCCTGGGTGTGCCGGTCACACGCCGATGTGGTTTTCCACACAAACACACTAATACACTTTACTTGCTTAACACAAACACTACTTATAAACAGCACTATTCCAATAAGTTGCTGTCACAACCCAAAAATTAATAAGTAAACGTTGTTTTGTGTTGTAAACACGAGAAAAACATGAGACCACGAGTTACCAAACAACCAGTCATTTTGAACTAATTTATGAATGAAAAAGTGTTACCAATTAGACTAAAGCAAATATCACTAAACAGAATGGTCACAGTACAAGCAAAAGACTCCTGAATACTAAGATAAAAATAATATTAAATTTTAAACGATTAAACCTAATTAAATACGCACCAATAAATACCAAATTTTTTTTTGTCGCTAGAAATAAAAGACGCTTTTGATGTCAAATCGTCACATAAAGGGACAAAGTTGCTTACTTGGCAACTCTGCATAGAGATGCGCGCGGCGGCGGCGTACGCATCGGATATCATTGATAACTAATATCTAAATGTTAATTTTAAAAAGACAATTATGATAAAGAAATAGGTTTCGCAATAATCGTCTTGTCTGGTATAAGTACCATGAGCAATTCAACAGTAAAAGTAAGGTAACTGCAGGTCGTTTAATGAATTGTAATAAATAATCAAATTTAACATGGTGATAATCGATACTCAAAAATAAGAAAACGAACCGTGGAGGTGGTCTGCAGATCTCCAAGCACCGATTTATTTATTTTCACATTACATTTATTAAAATTTCAACTACAGTTAACAGAAATTTTCGTTTTAAATGTTGATCTCATTAAAATGAACTCTTCGTTTTAAAGTTAGTAAATTCTTGTATTGTAAATTAAAACTATTTCCAAATGCATTGAAAAATAGACTATTACAAAAAAAACGATCTCCCAATTATGCTGCCAAAAACAGATAACAGGTATCAAATCTCTAAATCTCTAAGGTTATAAGCGACGTGATTGGCTGCCTCAATTTACTATTTTACGTCAGGGTCGGATTAAGGGTTACGAGACTATTGTAATTTGAGTATTTGACGCATGTTGTAGAACGTGTTTACTTAATTTAGTTATGTTTATTTAAGTTAGTCTTATCTTATGACGCAGAAAACATGGTTGAACTCCTGTCAGAATCATTTAGAAAACTTTACTTTTCTTAAGTTGTAGTAGGTAGTTTATAACAACGCATAGTTTAGAAACAACATGTCTCCCGAAGATTCTATGAGAGGTGCATTTTTTCGGTAAATGTAAATATTGGGTCGTCAAACACGGAATTCAGGGGTGTAAATTACACTCAAAATAATACAATAAAATACCCGAATAATTAATCATGATTCACATGATGACCGATCAAACAAAGTGATTGATCAAAGAAAGCGACTGATGGGGTGCTGATCAACGACGGAGGTCAGCGACCTATTAAATTTCAAAGTTTTTTGCCCTGAGTACCTCCCGGTAGTTGCCTCCAAACAGCTGTGTTTTATGATGTAGGGTTGACAATACAGACTTTTCAAGCAAATCTTTATCATTGAATAACTTGGAAACTATTACACTTAGAGCAAAAATACTTTCAGTACAATTAAGTACATATTTAAGACTCTTCACGGTTTTCGGCTTTGTCGGTCGTTCTGTTCCACCCGGTATATGCCTGAAGTTCGCGTGACATGCGACAGGAGATGTTGAATTTTGCGCATTAAAAGTACCAAATTCGTTTTAGCGGAATAACTCTAAAACTAAAGGGATTAAAAAAAATTCCGTAGTGACTGTTGTCGATCATGAATAAATATAATTAATTATCTAATTTTTGTCCTAATAACCTGTAGCATTTCGAGGATAAATCAAAAAAATGTGAATTTCGTGATTTTTATCTATCGAGGAAACTTTATTGTTTTATGTTTCTGATTAATGTCTATGCTTGAATATATCGTGTAGTTACTCATACAATATTTTATTTTTAACTTTAAAGTGGATATATCCCTCTAAAATCAAATCGAAGATTAGGTATTTTTCCTCTGCTCCCTCTTAACTGTTTAAGATTAATGTCACATATATTTATTGGTTACACTACGTGTCAACTAGTTAGGTACATGGATGCATTTAAAGGAAATACGTATTTTAAATATATAAATTAAAGTAAATTATGTACAAATAAATGTATGTTCATGTGAGTGGCGACTCAGGTAGCATAAGTTAGCCTTTTTAATTCGGCTGTACACTTATTAAGGTTACACGAATAAATGTCACTGTCAAATTTTAACGCCAAGTCGTTGTAGTTTTTTGCCATTCTGTTGATGGGGGAATTTAGGCCAAGATTATTACGGGAAGGAGCGACATGAAACAGGGAGTATTTGCTTTTTCGAGGCAGTTTGAAAGGGATATTATATTTAAAATTAAACAGTAAAATAAGAACTAATCATGTTTAGTCCAGCGGGTTGGTTTAATATATTTTTCAGACGAGCAATGCTTTAAATTTGTCAAGCTTAGTTTTTAAATACATTCTACGAGCCGAGATCGGCACCGCCACCGATTCATTCCCGCCAAAAACAACTATGTACAAGGCGTGGCTGATATGGCTTACTTGCTGCTACGCTTTCGCGTCATTCTCTTAGATTTCATTTCATTCATCGTTGTCACGTGTGTCCTGTTTAGTCAAAGGGACTTTTTAAGTATTTTAAAATAAAGAATTTACTTACTTACTTTATTTTGGGGACAACAGGACACGAAGCTTAAAAGCGGTACTGTCCCACTCAAAGCGGCACGTATGGTCGTTAGTTCGTGGAACTATGTCCCTATTAGCCATGTGTTGTGGACACCGTGGGATCCCGCAGATTCACGACTACGACGCCCCCGGCCACCCCGATTTCTACCAGGGTTCTCGCGCTATAGAGAGGTTAGCGTTTGTGGGGGTCGGCTCGCTTGACCCATCCCCCACAAACGGTTGAGACCGTGCAATGCGGGCAGGGGATCCCCGTCCCTCTACACTTGGCATTGAGGTGGGATATAACCGTAACGTTATTACAGATGCACTGTCTGAGCTACTGGTCTCTGAGTTGCTGATTCCGGACACGAAACTGCGTTCATTCGAGCAGCATGCACTTGGTCATCTGGACGATATAACTTCTGGTAATAAGCAGGCGCGGCGGAATGTGCTCAAATTGTGGTACTACGAAGATCAACTTAAGGAGCTATATGGAAGTGAGTGTTTTAAGTAAATTTCATAATATCCGCATCCAGGACTACTAACAGCTCTAATAGTACCCGAAAAATGTCCAGTGAAAAATTTGTAGAGCTTATGATTAGGCATTATACAAGTAGAGCTCCTTGTGAAAGGGTTCGTCCAGGGAAGTACTGCCACCTTACCTATTTTTGCCGCCAAGCCGTAATGTGAGCATTACTGCGTTCCGGTTTTGAAGGGTAAGGGTGCTGGGGAAATTGCAGGCACATGGACTTGTGAACTAAGTCTCAGGGTGACGAGCACGTGGCAATGCCACTCAGATCTTTGTGACTTAAAGGTCCGAGTGGCACTGCAATTGTTATGGACAGGCGTGTCGCTTACCACCAGGCCCCTGACTCGTTCGTTTCGTCACTTGGTAACATAAAAAGAATTTTTTAAAAGGCATTTTATTGGTGTGCTGGTGTAACACGTCCATTAAAAATTGTTCTTTTGTTTAGCTCAATATTATTTATAAACTAGTTTGTAGGATTTTGGTGTATTCTTAACACGTAACAAATAGTATCATGTCTAAATAAAGAACTTAAGCAAGCCGATAGAAATTTTGTTATAATAAACCTTTCATCACTTTTACACATACATTACGGAATGAAATTCCATTGTTGTTTATCCATGTACAGCCTGACTTCACCCACAGCAGGGTATAGACCTCCAAGTTTCTCCTCACGATCCCGTACTAATCTCATCCAGGTTCGCCCCCCCAATTCCTGCGATGTCATCCGCCCATCTCGCCACTGGACGCCCGACATTCCTATATCCAGTCCTTTGACGTCACTCAGTTATCGCCTTACTCCATCTGTCATCTTGTCTCCGTATCAGGTGCCCTGCCCAGCTCCATTTTAGGTTCGTGATGCGGTTCCCTACGTCCTTTACCTTTGTTTGACTTCGAATCTGGACATTGGGAACACTGTCTGTATACCGACACAAGCAATAAAGGAATATGTTTAATGAACCAATATTAAGTGGAATAAAAATATCAGCAGAAAGAATGCTTATTTACCGTTTGAAACATGTCCACCCTTCTCTGGTGGATTATACAGACACAGGAAATTGTCTAACAACGGTACAAACAAGTCGTGCGCCTGGTGGTAAACGACACACCTGTCCATAACAGTTGCAATGCCGCTTTAAATCGCAAAGTTCTGAAGGGGCACTGCCACTGCAATTCCCTCGCACACTCTCCGTACCCAATTTACTGCTTGGCGACAGACACAGGTAAGATAGGAGTACTTCCCTGGACAAACTTTTTCACATGGAGCTCCACTGCTGCTAACTTTGGATTTGCTTCGTCCTTATGAGTCTGTGTAAAGTCTGTACACTTACAACAGAAAAGAAAATAAAATCATAAGCGCAAATTTATGAAATAATTATTCACACTTGTCATTTTAGCGTACGTGGAAGCCTTGAACAAGTTCGCACATGACTCAGTGGAAGCCAACAAGGAAAAAGCTGTTAGCGCCATGTCCTATCTTCTTATGCACCATCCAGAGAGGGAAAAGGTATTAAAATAGAAATAAAGACCAAGGTTCTTTGTAAAATGGTAACAACCTAGCTGGGTTGTATTACTAACATCAGAAACAACTACTTTTGTTCCATAACTTTTAATATTTCATCAAATTTTACTTTCTTACAAAACTTTAAATATTAAAAAAAATCGGTCTGAAGGGTGATAACTATGTGCGGTTGCAAAAGAAAGCGTAAATACCAGTCCGATGCAAAACGCAGGAGCGAGTGTGGGGTCATCGGGGAAGACGCTTGCACGTTTAAACTTACTAACAAACCAGTACAACAAAAAGTTTATTTTTGGTAAATTTATTGTTTTGTAAAAAGTTATGATACAAAAGTTATTGTTTATGATATTAGTAACATAGTCATGCGAGGTTGTTAGTGTTTCAGAAATAACCCTGTATCCTCGAGTATATAACCAGAAAAAGAAACGAAATAAGTGTCATCCCTCTCTGTATTGTATTTAACATGTAATTTTTTGTCCATTATAGCAAAACTCAAGTTAAACTGGTCGAATTGAAGTGAAACTATTAACGACTCCCGTCAATTGTTTCGAATTCGGGTCGGCCAATCAGAGCGCAGTTGTCACCGTAATGATTTGGCAGAATAGTTTTCAAACAAATTAAAATTACATTTCGTGTCTATTTCTGGTTTTATACTCGACGTTTGTTTCAGTGACTTCTAAACGCCTTTACAGCTATCTTAATAACGGTGTAACTTACTTCCAGATGTTATTAACAAACATAATAAACAAACTTGGCGACCCAAGCGCCGGCGTGGCTTCCAAAGTGATTTACCACCTCTGCCAGCTTCTCTACAACCATCCTAATATGAAAGCTGTTGTTCTTAGCGAGATTGAAAAAATGTTATTCCGGTAAGACTTGTTTATTATTTCTGGTGTTTATTGTCTGAAAAATCAGCTTAAGCTGGGACTAAAAAGTAAATTTTATCTAAATTATAGGTGTTGACGTATCATAGAAATAACACACGATGTTGTGTTATTTCTATGATACGTACAAAGCGCGATCGAGTCTTTGGTACAGACCGGACGCTTTCAGTCGACTTAGTTGTGAGTTGCTATTACATTTATTTTTTTATTATACAATGGGAGGAAAGCCGCTAAAGCCACAGACGCGACAGATAATTTACTGCGAGTACTGTATTTTTTACAAGAAGCCGGATACCTAAATGATTATCACTAGTATCAGGTTTCTTACCACGGTATGACTTCTTTTTATTTTCCCGATATTTCGGAACGGTTGCACGCTCCATTGTCACGGGTTGACTGGACGGCGGCATATGACAGCTTTAAGAGCAGACATATCTGTCTACCCTCTTGCGCTGTCGACCACTACCTTCATCGCGATTTGTTGTGGCGTTACCAGTGTCACTCACTTTTTTCACACAAACCACACATTGTATCCACACGCGAAACTGAACTCGAGGTGGTAAGAAACCTGATACTAGTGATAATCATTTAGTGAATAACCACGAAAGTCTTAAAATCTATATAGCCGGATACTTGTCCGTGCAGCGCGGAAAGTGATTATTCCCTCGATGGCGAACATACCAACATAGCTATATAGCATAACATATATAATACAAATATAACATAGCATAGAATATTGTCATAATTGTAATATAACGTCAGTAGAGTAATTTTGAATTAATAACGGGAATGTTAATAATGATAGACAGGACCAAAGTAACTTGATCCCTAGTCACGAGCAAATCTTCAATATGGGAGAGGTCTATGCTTAATGAAAGTTAATATGTTTTTATAGATCGAATATTTCCGCCCGAGCGCAGTACTACGGTATTTGCTTCCTGAATCAGTTCTTCTTAGGCAAAGACGACTCCGCTATTGCTGAGAACCTTATACGTATTTACTTTTCATTCTTCAAGGCTTCAATTAAAAAGGTCAGTGATCCAACTATATTACATCTAGGTACTTATATAGGTTGCCCATGAAATCAACGCCCGAACTTATTCGTATTTATTTATTATATAGGAAAGCCAACATTGATGCATATACAGCAATAGCAAATGTACAATTCTTTACACAGTATAAAGGTAGATTTAGAAGAATGGAGACACCATACTTATTGGCTAACACAGCAAGCTATACAGATTCATATGAAAATTAATTATTCAATTGATCTTTATAATTATAATCCTTATTTTCTTTATAGGTAAAAAGAAAAAACAATATAATCCCTACATTAGAATGATAATATAAATAAACGATATGATACAAAACAGATCATTCTAAATATAATAATAACGCACACACGCTTAATATCGTATTAAGTTTTAACTGTTTTTCGCTAAAAGGGTAGCTTTTTTTAATAGTACCCCTTTTCACTAGAGCCACATATTTATGCAATGACAATCAAAACATTTTTTCCTCAGGGCGATATCGATTCAAGATTAATGTCAGCAATCCTCACGGGCGTGAAACGTGCTTACCCGTTCGCAGACCGCGAGCGACTGACCGAGGCGGCCAATCACGTGGCGTCTGTTCACCGATTGGTCCATCTTGCGCCATTGAATGTTGCCATACACGCGCTTGCGCTACTCTTTCAGATTAGTGGCGCTTCTGAGGGTACCTCGGACAGGTAGTTTTTTTTTTCACTTGTCAATTCTATTATTAAGAGATGGTAGCTTAGTTGGAGTACGGTTGGTTCACAGTTATTGAAAGGTCGACGAAACGGTTCGGACCTCTGTGGCGGCAAGTTTGTGAATGTTTATCAGCAATACCAATGTAAAAAAATGTTTAAGATAGCATTTTATAAAATATGATGACATGTTACTGACGCCACTTTCAAACTTCCCCTGATGTACTCATTCCTTATCTTATCTCGTTATCCATATAGTATCCACCAGGTCTAATCACGTCTTGCATATTTTCTCCTTTACCTTAAGGGGCATTCGCCGATCGCAAATAGTGCCTATGACATGTCGCCATTTTTTTTATAATAGGTACCATTGATTTGTTAAATTTACAGATACTACACAGCCCTGTATCGGAAATTGATAAATTCGGAAATATTCAACACCACCCATTCAGCCCTATTATTCTCGTTGATCTACAAGTCTCTCCGAGCCGACAAGAGTCCGGAACGTGTTGCTGCTTTTGTCAAGCGGTTATTGCAACTTTGTTGCTATATGCAACCGGCACAAATATGTGGAGTGATGTTTCTTATATCTCAAGTGTTGAAGGATTCTGCGAAGAAGGATGCTGTTAGATTAGTTTGGACTAAACAGGAGATTAAAGAGGTATAAATATTGCATCAATCATGATTGAGTATATTTGATGATCTCGATGGTCCTACGATTTACGCTGTCGGCGCTGGTTTAAGAAGATCCCAGGCGTATTTTTTTTAATATACCAAGAGGTAGGACGAACAAGTCATGTGGTTGGCGCTAAGCGACACATTTGTTTTTTTTTTTTTGACGGGGGTGAAATCTTTATGGATACCCCTGAGCCCAGGACACACCTGTCCCTATAGACAGGCAATGCTGCAATTGCAGCGCCACCCAGACCTCTAAATCTCAAAGATCTGAGGGGCACTGCCGCTGCGTACATCACCCTGAGACATAAGTTGACAAGACACATATGCCTGCAATCTCACCAGCACTCTTACCCTTCTAAACCGGAACGCAGTAATGCTAACATTACTGCTTGGCGGCAGAAATAGGTGAAGTGGCAGTACTTCCCTGTACGAGCTCTACTGCTGCTAAGATATTATAATATTCTGCATGGTAATACTATAAATTCCCTTGTCATGTCAACATTGTTGGATTGTTGGAAGGGTGCCGTTTAAAATAAATCCTTTTGATGCTTTTTGCGCTCTTTCACAAATTGCAAAAGGTTCGTCCAGGGAAGTACTGCCACCTTACGTATTTCTGCCGCCAAGCAGTAACGTGAGCTTGACTGCGTTCCGATTTTGAAGGGTATGCGTGCTAGTGAAATCATAGGCACATGGAACTTGTCAACTTATGTCCCAGGGTGACGGACGCAGTGGCAATGCCTTCAGATCTTGGTGCAATATCGTACATTGTATTTATGCAGCATTTTAAGTATTCATGCGACATTTAGTTACAATTCATCACAATCAGCCATCGCGCAGTGTACTCATTTTACACCTATCAAAGGTATCATAGTTAGTAACAAATCAGAACTCACACAGTTATCGTACTGTCATTTATAAGTGTATGGAACACCGCGCAGAGTGGTACTGCAACTGTTATGGTCAGGCGTGTTGCTTACCATCAGGCGCACGACTTGTTCGTCACGTCCCTTGGTATGATAAAAAGTATATATATGCTCTAAAAAAATATATAATTATAACAAACTAGTGGAGTAATTTCACAAAAAGTAATTGAATATCAATTCAATACAAAATTTAATTATAATTAATTGCGCCTTCTCTAGCTAGCTGATAGCTGTAAAGTTACCTAACTGGGTGACGAAATACTTTCATAGATTTCTCATAGATGGCGCTACGGTTATATATATGTTCTATTTTGCTTTTATGCATGCATATGCGTGTATTACATTTTTTAAAATCTTTTTTATGAATTCAGGAAGTAAAGGAAGAACCTAAGCAAGAAAACGAAAATCACTCTGAAGAGGATGAACCGAACGAGACTGTGGATTCTGTAGAAGTAGTAGAAAAGCAGGAAGATAGAAGAGAACAGAAAAAGATTGACTTGTTGCGTGGTGATAAGAAAGATTTACTTATTGGTGAGTATTGCTACTTTAGCATTGAAAAATAGACATACATTGATATCCCAATTAGCGGTGGTAGACAAATGGGAGAGTGATTGCTTCCCAATTGAAAAGTCAGCGGTTCGATTCCCCGTTTCAGCAAGTACCTATGACTTTAATTTCTAAGTTACTTTACTTATTGATTTATTAGCATCTTTCTAACGATGAAAGTAAACCTTTTTCCTTGGAAGAAACCCGTGCCCACCAGTGGGACGTATAATGGGTCGGATGATTATCTAATGTGTAAACTTGGGAAACGAACTTTTCTAAATTGGTCCTAGTCTGGATATTCTGAGTAGAGCCCCGGAGTGAATTCCCTTACTCTGGTAGACAATATATTTTAATATATGTTTCAAAACGGCAGCCGATCTAAAATTTAACCCGTTCCGGCTGAAATTTGGCATCCGGCCGTGTATGAGGACCTACTATACGAATTTTTATTCCGCCAGTTTTCGACATGGCCGCCTTTTTTTTCTACTGTCCAACATTATTGACCTCCTAAAACGAATCGAGGTATATTAAATTAATATAGAAAGATTGTGTTCGATTGAATACAGTGAATAACAGGACAATCCGGATCCTTCGAAAACTTCTCTGTATCACTACCTGATACTGTAGGACCCCCAGCTACCCAGCCAAAGCGTCAAAAACCGGGTGAGAAATTAGAGTGGTTAGGTACTATGATTGTTATTATTATTTTGGTTATCTTAAATTCTCGCCGCTCCCATAGATTAAAAGAATTTTGAGTTATAAAATTTTTATTTTTATTAAAAATTACAATAGTATTAGATAGATAGAACGTCAAACTGTGTAGTAAGAATGCGTTGTGGTATGAAAGATGATGTAGACACCAGGATAGAGAGGGGGATGCTTTGTTCGTTATGTCATGTAGAAAGAATGAATGTTGGTAGATTGACGGCACAAATTTATAAAATGAATGTGGATGGAAGCGTGAGGAGAAACCTCGGCGTACACATCTCGATCTGCCCCCGTAGGCACGCTACGGGAGCCTCGATAAAGATATTATATCCACTTTTAGCTGTCAAATTTTTGAGTGATAAATAAACATTTTACAATTTTATCACAATAGCTTACATGGCGAGCACTGTGACGTCATATTTTGACGTTACGGTACTAATAATGCGACCAATGGCTGCATAAGAATATCGCAGTGCCAAACATGGCAAGGTCACAGCTCATTTTAAAACATTTTGACAGTTCTACATAGTAATTTTATCAACGTAAAAATTGAGCGCGACAAACGAGATAAACAGAAAAAATAAAAACAAACAAATTGATATATATATAAATTATTGGAAAAAGGTGAGAAGAGCATTTTTAATACATGAGAGTAATTAGAAATAATAATAATAACGCACACACTCAACATACCCCCGCACTAGGGAAACTGTGTCGCGGGTGCCATGGACACACACATAGACAACCACAAATTACACCCAAACTCACGAGATAAATAAATGTAGGCTATACAAATATTTCTCCCGGCCCGGGAATCGAACCTGGGACCTCTGCGTGGCAGTCCGACATGGTAACCGTACGGTGGCAGAAATACGTAAATAATAAATAATGTAAAATATGTGAAAACGGAAACTACAAAAGCCCTGCATTTTTTGATTCATCGTTTTGGCGGCTATCACTAAACGACAAAGATAGCAATATCGTTATTCTTGTTCTCCAACATGGAAAACAATAGTTCCTTACCAAATAAACGATATCGTTCTTTCGACTCTAGTGCGGTGTCTTATCGATTCAGTATTCGCAATAAAAAAAAAATTTAATAATGGCAACATAGCTTTAATAACTGAAAAAAATATGTCACGGGGAGATTTATCAAGGGTCTATCGCACATTGCATGGCATGCTACGGTCGCAGATTGGGGATGTATTTAAAAAAAGCCGGGTGAAAAGTGCCAAGAATGGCATGTATAAAAAGACTGATGAGAGTGGAGGCGAAGAAGGTTTATCAGGGATGTACCAAGTGGAGGTCCTTGATCACTGCCTACCCTATTAGGAGACAGGCGTGACGACATGCATGTATGTTTATTATTATCGATATTTTTTTACACATGGGGAGCGGAAATCTTTTCATTATCCCTTAAATGTTATTTATTTCACCCAGACGATGAAGAGGAAACCTACATAGATCTAAATATCGATGACGAGGGGAATATTAAGCCTGCAAAGCGCAAATCTGCACCTCAAGCTGGCTCAAGCTGGTTCCATGCAAAGGTTAAAAGTGAAGAGTCCCAGGAGCCTGAAAAAGATCTGGAGACCAAGATACAGCTCAAGAAGACTATAAACATGGAAAGGGTAAGTGTATTTTATGTTTTTATGGTATCAAGTGATGGGACGAACAAGTCCCATGCGTTTGGTGGTAAGCGACACGTCTTGCAGTGTCACTCAGAGCTTTAAACCGCAAAGATCTGAAGGGCCCTGCCGCTGTGCCTGACACCCTGAGACATAAGCTGACAAGTCCCATATGTACCTGTAATTTCACCAGCACCATTACCCATCAAAATCGGAACGCAATAATGTTCACGTTATTGTTTGGCGGTAAGGCGGCAGTACTTCCCTGGACGAGCTCTACTGCTACTAAGATAATATAATATTCTACATGGTAATACTATAAATTCCCTTGTCATGTCAACATTATTCGATTGTTGGAAGGGGTGCCTTTTAAAGTAAATCCTGTTATGCTTTTTGCGCTCTGGACCGTCTAATCAAAATCTGTCTAAAGTATCACCGTTTAACAACACTTGGTGTTCCCCACGTGGACACCCCAACATTACAAGAATATTTATAATTGAATCGAGAGGCAGAGTCGGCTGTACAAAGCACAAGTCCGGTCGTTTATGGATTACTGCTGCCACCTATGGGATGGTTCTGATAAACACCCACTGGCCACCTTGGCTTCAAATGAAAAGCGTTCCAAGTGGCTTATAGGTGACTCGGAATTAGTAGAGGCGAAGTTGCAGAGCTTTGAAGTAGCCTGCTTATCGATTTTGTTCAGGATATTATCAGAGTGTGCGGGGAATTGCACGATTTACACGTCATCATCGGCTAGACGTAGTCTGGGGTTCCACCACTATGTTGTGAATATTCCAAGGATTCGCCCGAAACCTTTCGCTTCCATTTTTATATTGCAAACGGCTGTGGAGTGAAATTCCCTGCCTGCAGACGTGTTCGCTGAACGGTATAACTTTGGCCTTTTCAAAGCGAGAATGAATAGGCATTATTTAGGTGTTCACGCTCCGTCGCCGACTTCATCGTCACTTACCATCAGGTGAGATGGGATTGAAATGTGCACTTAATTAAAAAAATGAGGCATTATTGAGATTTTTTGCTAAATAACTCCACTAGTTTTGTTATATATAATATAAAGATCGAACACATGGAAAAATTTCTTCGATCCGGTGGGACTTGAACACACGACCATGCTGCACCGTAGCATTGCTTTTACCAACTCAGCCTCAGGTCAAGTTATCGAGCTTTCGGCATTCGTCGCCGCTAATGACATCTAGTGAGAGATTTTTGAAAAATATTCAAGGTAGATGAAGGCTAGTCGACCACCTCTTGACCTTTGAAATAAAATCGTTTTCAATTTGACATCAAATATTTCCAGGTAATCACCTCGTACAACCCCCTTGCCCGCAACCCTCGCTGGGCTGGAGCATTTTGTTCAGCTTACGTGGAGCTGCTGCCGCTCGCTCATCACTTCCACCCCACTGTTAAGCTCTTTGCTGATAAACTTCTCAATGGTACGTACAATATAATTAATAATCATTCATTGTTGGGTATTCCCATGGAATGTCACTTTTTATTAAAATTTCACTAGGTAGTGAGAATGGTATCAAGCGGTATTAGTATCAAAACCGTTGTCACCATATGCACACACTTGTGAACTAATCTTACATTACTTTACGAAGATAATAATAATCTTGACTGGATATTATTTATCAAACGGAATTTGGCCTATAGTATACTGCTGCCGCTAGTTCAATGGGCGCTTGTGACAAAAACTCAAAACCGAGAAAATAATTTTTAAAGGAATGAAATTAAAAAATATCTACTTTTCTCTTGCGGTAACTTTCCACCATCCACCTAGGAAATTATAGTCTCAGTACAAAGTACTAAAAAACTGACCTCACAAGTCATTCATGCCCTAGTTTGCAACCCTTAGAGGTGGAATATTTTCGTCAAATTTAAATGGGACCATTTCGGAGGTACCCTCTTTCCAACAAAAAAAGAATCATCAAAATCGGTTCACAAATGTTAGCGTATTCGCGTGTTAGTATATATCACAAGAGTTATAGAAATAGAAATAGAAACCATTTATTGTAACGCCACATTGTAAAAAAAAACACAAAAACAAAGACTAATACAACTAAAACATAAATAACACAAAGAACAGCGTAAAAACATTTCAACAACAAGTTGCATAATACTATACTGACATGTGTGCGGCTGTGGCGTGTACAAAAGGATCCCATTCTGTTAAAGTCACAACCAAGGCTAGGTTGTGACGCTGGTTTTCAATGGGCCCTAGCCGAGTGAGTGAGAGTGACGGACGTATGCGTCCCGGAACAGATAATAAAATAAAATAAACTACGTGAATACTTAATCATGAGTGCGTATAGCGTTAGTATAGCGTTATTGCAGTGTGTACTCTTATATCGAATAAATACATAATCTTTGCAATATATACATACAGGCATAAGGGTGTGTAGTGTGAAAATAAATTAATAAAATATTTAACACATATTTAAAGTACAAGCGTTATCCTTTTATTTTATTTTTTTAATTTTTTAATTATTTTATTAGAAAGTGTGTTTTTCTTTTTAACAATAAAAATACGATCCATTTGAAGTGTTCATGTTAAATTTTATCTAATAATACCTACTCTTCTTATAATAAATTTATTATTTATTAGAATTAATGGTTCAAATCAGTGGTGGGGGAACATTCCCTCTTTTTATAACAAAATTGTTATTCTAGAGTCGGCTAGATGCAGCCTCAAAAAGCGTTGTGTCTTACATGCACATTTTAATAAATAAGTTTCGCGCCGAGCGAGCGTTCGACGCGGTTGCTTTTTCTGAACGGCTTAATGGGATTGCATGGCGATAAATGTGGTGAAGATTTTGGCGGTTGGTTGCGACGTCAGAAACTTTGACTTTTTAAGTTAGGGAAAAGTATCGAGTTCTTAGGTTTTCGTGATTGTTATACATAGGAAAAGGATCTATACGTATATTTATTTTTTCAAACAATCCAAAGTTTCGGGTTCTTTACAGGCCAGCCGTGATCATGCGATCTGTAAAGGGCCCAAAGTGTTGGTTTGTTTCAAAAACAAATTTACGCTGTTTAGATCCGAAAATATAGTTTAATGTCTTAAGTATTATGTTTCAACATTATATCCTGTGTTGTAGGCAGTTCTGCTTTTTAAATTATTGGTACACTTGGTTACTGTCATTGGTGTAGGCGGACGAAGAACTTGCATCTTTAATTATTTTTACAAAATGTACAAAGAACTTTGGCTTGACGTTAACGTTACCCATATGGTTCGAATTAATTAACTTTAATTTAAAGAATTAAGTATCATTTCTAAAAATATAAACAAATATATTTGTCAGAGCCAGTTATACTTCAAACGTAATGTAATATAATTCAATTTATTGTTTACGCAATGTGCGTTGCAAAAGGATAACTCTTGTATATTGTATAGCGTAACATCATATAAAAAAAACATACAGTCGAATTAAGAACCTCCTTCCTTTTTTGAGGTCGGTTAAAAAAAAATAGTGACTGGTCGGTCTTTTGTTACTGATCACGGCAGTGTAGATGTATTTGATTTGTATGTCATTTTTTAGGACGTAGATAAAAATGTGGTACACTGCAAAACATGTTAATGTAGTAAACGCAATAAAGGTTGTATTTAGGTAGCATTTTAAAAATTATACCTCTTTCAGATACTATGTTACTGTAATAATATACAGTGTGATAAAAAACCACTGACCATTTTAAAGGAGCATACTTTATAATGGAAATAAAAAATATATGTTCGGTTTTTTTTTTCAAATAATACATAAATAAGTTATGACGTTTCAAAGTTTTCCGAAAAATTACGAACAGTATTGACACCCGATGATTAGCAGACGCCGTTGCTATAGCAACAAGAACGGTGTGGCGCAGTGGGCGGAGTCAGCGCGCGAGTTCATGTATTTGATAGACAACATAATATTAAGCTAACGCGATGTTCTACGAGTTGTTTACACAACTCGGCGCCGATTACTCAATTTTATTTACTATTTTGAGGTAACCACGCGTCAGAAATTATTGGGAAATATTAACATAAAAATGGGGATTTCTATTACTGAATCTTATGCACAGGAAAAAAAATGGCTAGTGATTTTTTATCACCCCATATTTGAGCAAGAAGTTTATAATTTTCTTCAATAAAAATCAGTTACAACGAACTATGTGAAAACACGTATCCGAGATTTTCACTCTAAAGCGACGATAAGTTGCTTTGATCCCAAAGTACGTCACTAAAGCACTTGTGTTATGGAAATCGGGAACAACGACGGTACCATAAACAGTTAAACTCGAGACAATATAGAAAAATTAGTTTTTTTCTACATTGACCCGGCCGGGTAATCGAACCCGGCACCTCAGCTTTTGAGGTGGGTTTTTTTTAATAATTGCTATTATCATTTCCAGAGCAAATCATTCAATACAGTGGTGATCCCCTGAAGGACTTCGCCGGTATCCGTTTCCTCGATCGTTTTGTATTCAAAAACCCGAAAAAACGCACCGAGGCATCGCAGAATGATGGAGACCTTAAAAAGGTCAAAGGCTCACACCCCAAATTTGCTGTTAGAAAGAACTACGCAGCCAAAGGTTTGTTACCTTGTTTTTCTACAGCATTTTTCTAGTGATCGGTTCGATGCACTTGCACAATGTGCGTTTCTCAGTTCATTTTTGTTACTAATCGACCAAATGAAATTTGACCAAAAAAAATAGCAGTAATGTTAGCATTACTGCGCTGCGGTTTGGAAGGGTAAGCGTGCTGGTGAAATTACAGGCACATAAGACTTGTCAACTTATGTTTATATAAGTTTATAGAGATGCGCCGAGTACTCGTTTGCTACTCGTGTACTCGGCTGTTTTTTTACTACACGTACTCGGAACTCGGAATGGTACTGAGAAGAGTACTCGGTTAAAATAAAACGTTACAGCTATAGACATAATAAAGTAAAACCAACAATATAATCAAAAGAGATTTATTACTAGAAATTCTGTACAATTGTAACAATTTCTAGTAATTTAAAAAGATAGTTTACATTATTAATATTTAAAATTTAACAAAGGCAGGTTATGATGTAGAAATACAAGTCTTTCTGCGCGTTCAGGTAATAGCTAGTCTGTTCCTTTTTTCTTCATACACGTTACCCGCTTCGGAAAATAACCGCTCTCTACATACAGTGCTTGCAGGTGCACGTATAAACTCTCGTGCTGACTGTGATAGTTTTGAACATCTTGTTTTATGCCCTGGCATTCATTGGAAAGGACTCTGCTCACGCGACAATAAATTTTCATTGACATATCTGTCTGATTCCAGAACAATGGGACTTTTAAGATTATCACGTTCCGGTTGTAATGAACCGAGTAACTCGGCCGAATTCTCGGCTCGACAAATGTTAGATCGAGTAATATTCGGTACTCGGTTACTCGGTAAAACTTGCACTCGGCGCATCTCTGTAACTTTACCTTATTTCTTATCCGTACTTTATCATCATAAACAGCCTGACTTCGCCCATTGCCGGGTACAGACCTCTCAAGTTTTTGTGCCACTCCCCACAGTCCTGTGTTAGTCTGGGGGTGTACTCCCTTTCTCTGTCCGACATCCGTCCCTAAAATAAATAATACTCGATCAAATTAAAAGATGCATGATGTTAATGAAGCTTCATACTTGACACTGTCCATTGTTCAATGGGAACACAGTCTGTAAGCATGTCACGGTCCATAGCTATCTGTGCATCCGTACTTAGGTATGTCTGTTCAATTTCAGGTCTCAAAAGTATTCCTGTTAATTCAGCATCGTATTTAAATGAGGACGCTTCGAAAATACCCGTCGACGAGAAATTCCTTTACGAGTAAGTTTATTTACCGATTTCTTAATATCAAAACTATAATTTCCTAAGTTTAAGTGTCGAAGCACGAAATTGCGAATCGGCGCGACGCGAATCGCTGCGATGCGATTTCGCGTGGCAAGGCATCTCACTATCACGTTTCGGGTAACCAATCGACGACACAGCCAATAGACGCCTAATATTTGAATTTTGCACGGAATTCATTCTGTCAACTGATTGGCGCAATGAAGGTCATAGGGATGCGACAGTGTAAATTTTGTATTACGTTTATCGATAAAATGGAATTAATTAATTATAAAAATAGATTGTATTTTGAATTATTCCTTTAAAGATTATAATAAAGATATAGTGGCATTATCTACTCGTAACATAATTTATTTACATATTAAATTAATAAGAACATAATGTTTACACGGACTAAGTTGGCAAAGTTGTTGGTATAAAACATTGTTCTTAATTTCTTCTTACTTTCAGTCCTATTGTTGTGCTGTATTTATACTGGTAGGAACATATTATCTAGATTAAACAAGGACAATGGATAATATTGACTTCATAGTAGTAATACCAAACTGACAATGTACTAAATAAAAGAAGAGCATCTCAAAGTGAACAAAACTTATTAAGTAACTTGTCGAAATGATAATAAATAGGTTATTTGATGAAATTATACAAGAGTTGATTTTACTTGCCAGTAGAATAGTAAATAGTCTAATTACTCATTAAAACAACATAATCGATACGAATATTAATTTAAATCGGTACGTCGAAATACGAAGAGACGGCGTAATTAGATGCATAGAAAAAAAA